AAAATATATGAATTTTTTTAAATGTACTTCTGGGGTTCCTTCGGCTCTTCGAATCATGTTAAAATAAAAAAAATGGTTATGCTTATGAAAGAATTATAGACAGAATGAAAGCTAGTAATGTGTAAAATCTGTGTTTGACTTTCATGTATGTGGGGCTTTATCTGAGCCGGGTCAGTCCTGGTCAGCTTCCCAGAAACTATCTACACCCATCACACCACCTCCAGCCATACTGCTCGCTATGGCTGTGACGACAAGGCACGCACCTTCTCCAGCCTATCTAGTGACCCAAAACAACTTTGGAGGATAAATTAGGGCCTGCAAGCTATTTAATACGTATATTCAAAGTGTGGGATACATCTAAAATGTGCTTATAATTATTCGTGTGAGTATTGTAAATGTAGCCCATCGGTTGACCCGAATGGTTGTCCAGTCATGGACGCATATTTCGAAAACAGGCACGGAACATAGAAGTGATTTTGAGACGTCGTTGAGACCCTTGTCTCAAGGTACATTATCCTGTCTCATTTTGATTTAATCAAATACAGAAGCATGTTCATAAGAGCAATAGATAGCACACATTTTAAATTTTAATAAGCTGCATTACTCATAAATTAGCTTATACCTATATATATGTCAAGGCAAATATCTACACACAACCATTACAAATGGAGCAAGTGCTCTTCGTGAAGACTTCGTGTCTAAAATGACACGCAGTATTTTTGTTTTGTGTATCAATAATCGCTGTCTGCTCATTGTATTTTCTGTAATTTACAAGTGCAACTCATGTGCTGCTGCCATCTTGCCAGGACTTCCATGGAAGTAAGATGTGAAAATAAAGAATACAAATTATTTTAATACTGTAAATAATGGATATCTGATTTGGCAAGCATCACACGTAGCCACTTGCGTCTCCCCATTGCGAATATTTACCACGTACCACACCAGGTGCGAATTTAAAGCTGAGTGGAATTACAGGAGGCCCAGGATAGGTTCAGAAATCACCAATATTATCCTTGGTCAAGAACTTAACCATTTTCTTGGTTCTTTCAATAAAGTCGCGTAGAAGGGAAATAATAAAATAATAAAACATAATAAAATAATTCTCACGACGTTTCGGCCACAACGCAAGCAGCCGTCCTCAGGTGAAGACCAGGTCTGTCGGGGAGACGTGACTTTACCGAAAGAACCAATAAGATGAATCCCTGCAGTCACGAAAGCTTTTAATCGAAATTTAACTGAACCATTATAATTTTTATTCTTAGCGTATGCTTGTTTTAGCGAACCAGGTGACGGATGCTTCATCAGCAGCACGGAAGAGCAAAGCGTCGAGGACAGTCAGGATGCATTCGTCGACGGTGTCCCACACGGTCTCACGCTGACCAGTGACCACATCCAAAGAGTTCTCACGTTGGCTCCAGGTGTGGAGGTTCGTTGTGAAGTGCTAACTACTGGGCCACTGCCCCCCTCCCACCCCCGTCCATAAACATACACGTATATGTATGTCCACACACACACAAGGCACTAAAATGACACATCTCCATCATTGCGCAGTCATAATAAAAGAGCATGACAAGCGAAAAGCTCTTTTAAATGGATTTTAGCGGTCACACGTCATTTGAAAGCCCTTGATGGGTACAGATCAGTGTAGCAATAGTTTTTAGCACACATCGGATTGCTTTTTGCCAGTCGCAGGAAGCGCAATTAAATCAATATAATGCGTTAGGAACTTACTGTTGGCGAGGAGAGCATTTTAATAGTCATACCAGGGTATCATTACACACCACGCTATTTATAAGCCTGGAAATGTTGGTGTCATCCTAAGGTCATCCTGAATATATGGGTTACAGTGTTGTGCCGTTTATGCACTTGTCCTAATAGTAGCGCTCACTCCCTGAAAGATTAATGAATCTCAATTGTTCCAGCCTGACTGCTTTCATTACATCAACGATTCTGCTGCCGTACGCAAAGATCACACACACACACACGCCCACAGAGTTGCTTGTCCGTGCGTGTCAGTGAGCATGCGACGCGAAACAGGCCCTCGGGCTCCCAGTGCTCCTGCTGTACTCATATGATTGCTTTCATTGGTCTGGGTCAAAAGAAAAAAAAAATGCACACCGGAATTCATCGGGGCTCATTGTCTGATACAAGCTCCCTGTTTCAAATTATAACCGTTATAATTTAATGATAGTGGTGAACACGATGATGGTACTGGTCGTTATGACGTAATTATATATGTTTTAATTCACGCTATTATCGTTATTGCAATGGTTATTATTACTATTGTTGATGTATCATTTTATATTACGAGTGCGTCTACTCTATGTACACTAAATTGCTTCGGCATCAATATCAATGAATTATGCCGCGTAAAAAAATGCTTTTAACTGCTAACCCCCCTTTAAACGGTCACCCGATGAAGTGGGGGGTGATCGTTTATCAAGCTGCGAGGCATCGACTCAGCGAGTCCCACCACCCTTACTGTCGTTGCTGTTCTGTGCCCCTCGGAATCCTGGGAGCTGGAGGCATCAGCTTTCGGAAGATGCTCGGGTAGATCTGCATGAAGTCCACGTGTGCTTCTCCCGAGCCGCTCTCCCCGGTGCATCTGCATACAGAAAATGAAGTTCCACTGCATGTCACTTGCAACCATTTGGTATGCATTTGCTAGCCTCCTTTAATTAACAAAAAAATAACCCGTAAAAACAAAGTTTTTCACTATAAATCCTTTATATGCGTGGCATCGGGGCGGCGAGAGTCCTCTCGTCCTCTGGCTTGAGATGGCTGCCACCTATGGGTCAGATGATTGTCTGGCAGCATTAAACAATTGGTAATTAAATATTTAAGAAATTTTCCCTAAACGGTGTAAAAAATTTTTTCACGAAAATGCATTGTCACGCACAACGAGTCTGTGTGCAAAATGTCAGCTCGATTGGATCACGGGAAGTGGGTTAAACAACGACTGAAAGATTTGCACGGTCCTAAGCAAGCAAGCGAACTTAATATGAAGGATTTTTTTAAAAACTTTTATCAGCCCTGGAATATCTTGCTCGTGCCACTGCTGGAGGAAAGGCCTCCACAAGGTGGAACTATAAAGAACCAATCTCGTCTTCCAGGCTGTCCAGATGTCTTGAAATAGATGAGAGAACCCAATCGACTATCTTTGTATGTAACCATTTTCCTATTTGTTTCACTATTTTTATTTTACCAGGTAAGACCCACACTGAGTTATATATCTATTTGTCATAAGCGACCTGGCCACAAATGATAGCCCAATGAAGTGGCTTATCACGTGGAAATGTATAGAAGCAGCCAAATACTTTTAACGAATGTTTCTAAATGTGGAGGGAAAACTGGAGGACCTGGAGAAAAATCCACGTAACCACGGTGAGAACAACGCAATCTCCAAATATACAGGCGTCATGGTCGGGTTCGAACCCACGACCTCCTATATACCAGGCAGGGTAGTTAACATCTCGCCACCGTGAAGCCACTATACTGTTGGGTGGACAGAGGTGGAGGTGTTGAAGAAACTTGAAACTGCTCTGGATATGGTTAGATATTGTTTTTTGGTGGGGTTGTTTTCTGCCAATTGTATCCTGATTGTGCTATGAGACGACTATCTCGTTGGATGTCTCACAGAGCAGTGTAATCCTTCATGTAACACAGGCATGTCCAAAGTCCGGCCCGCGGGCCAATCACGGCCCGCGGGCAGATTTCATGCGGCCCGCAGCTTCGGTCTTATAAAGTGTTATTTATGGCTCGCTAGCTCTGTCAGAATAAATACATCATAAAACTCATGGAAATTTAAGATATTCTATACAGTTTGTTCAATGTTATCTGACTGAATGAAAGGCAGAATTGCGTTTTTAGAGTTGTTCCCGTCTGCCTGAGTGGCTTATATTTGGTTACATTGTCATTTGAAAAATAAAGGTAATTGTGACAATGAAAATTTTGTTTTATAACAGTGTGTATTTCCACGTATCTTTTGTGGTTAAAACCATGTCAAAAGGAACTATTGGCCCCCGGGCATCTTCACTTTATGAAATGTGGCCCTCTTTGCAAAAAGTTTGGACACCCCTGATGTAATAGAATAGCCCACATAAGTTAATATCAATGTGCTACTTCTAATATCTCTTGGTTTGAGATGGCCCATGAAGTGGAGGGGAGCCTGTTTCCACCCAATCTGCTATATGAGAGTTAATTCTCACCATATTAGCCAAATCAAGTGCAGAATCAAATGGTATGTGACGTTTTCCTGGACAGTCATTGGTTACTGGGCTAAGATCATCACCTAAATACACATTAAAACCTGGTTGAATCACAGATAGCCAGATAAAAATGCAGAACCGAAGTCGTGCCAGCTCAGCACTCTGACTACTTAGCTGCACGGCCACCTCAGATAGAGACATTCTTGAGAATGATCAGGATTGAATCAATGTTCCTCGCACTTTGAGAACCTATCTTATTATTGTATGTGTATGTATGTACACAGCCCTTTATCAAATCACTGTTGGATGAACATCTATCTTCACCATGTCAATCATGAGTAATGTTTGACCATACTTCACCACGCTTTTCATTGTAGGTTGGTGAATGGGGGGAGAGGCCCCAGAAGCGGTTCAGATATTAATCGCCGCTGATGTTCGCCATGGCCAGGATTTCGACTCGTATAATGGTTCCGATTTCTAGCAGCAGTGTACCTGTGCCACTGTTCCTCGCCATCTTCTATATATATAAAATCGTGCATGTCTGTCTGTGTGTGTGTGGATTTCGGACCATACGCACTTTCATTGGACGGCGGTTGCCCCTGGCAACGGCTAGCGACGCCTTCGCCGCTTTCATTGGACCTGGCAACGGCTAGCGACGCCTTCGCCAAGGGCTGCAGTTTCATTGGACGGCGGTTGCCCCTGCCAACGGCTAGCCACGCCTTCGCCACTTTCATAGGCTCCGTAAATAATTAAATAATAGCCATTACACAGTATTGTTGGAGCGCTGAGGGGGGGGAAGGCACGCCACCCGTACCCTGCCTTTGCCGGCTGGACAATTTTGGCGAGGCCGCAGGCTCTGCACGCTCCTAGGCCTCGACACCCACCACGCCACTCTGAGGTAAATTCATCAAAGTTTTTCCTACTATTCACTCCACCCCCACCACAATGTGTGCAATTTATATTACTTTTAAACCCAACGCGCCAACAATCGATTACTTAAATGTTCACTGTACAAATAGTCATTAAGCTGGGTCAGCGTACTGCCAGTCTATCATGTAGACTGTAGCCTGCTTATTAAACTCGGTGAGCGTACTGCCACTCTATCATGTACACTCTAGCCTGCTTATGAAGCTGAGTGCGTGTACTGCCAGTCTATAATGTGGACTGTAGCCTGGTTATTATAATCGATTCTTTATATGTTCTTTGTACAAATAGTCATTAAGCTGGTTGAGCGACCCCAGTTCCATTCCAACTCATGCCCACCACAGCTGACGATTATTTGAAACGGACCTGGGCCTCCCCTAGGTCGACTCAGCCTCAAACGCGTAACTGCTGTCGTGTGTGAACATCGTCACTGGGGAGACAAAGGCGGCGGGGCATCGTGGATCCAAGTCCCGGGCGAAGCCGGGTCATGTGTATGTGTGTATGTGTTTATGTGTATGTCTGTGTGTCTCTATGTATGTGTGTATGTATGTATGTGTTTGTGTGTATGTGTGTGTGTATGTATGTCGGTTTTTTTGTATGTCTTTATGTGTATGTCTGCGTGTCTGTATGTATGTATGTGTGTATGTACGTGTGTGCATGTGTTTGTGTGCATGTATGTGTGTGTGTATGTATGTGTGTGTATGTGTTTGTGTGTATGTCTGTGTGTGTATGTATGTGGGTTTTTTTAATGTGTTTATGTCTATGTCTGTGTGTCTGTATGTATGTGTGTATGTACGTGTGTGTATGTGTTTGTGTGTATGTATGTGTGTATGTATGTGTGTGTGTATGTGTTTCTGTGTATGTATGTGTGTGTATGTATGTGTGTTATGTGTGTCTCTGTGTGTCTGCATGTATGTCTGTGTGTATTCTGTATGTGTTTGTGTGTATGTATGTGTGTGTTTGTGTGTATGTGTATGTCTGTGTGTATGTATGTGTGTGTATGTGTGTGTATGTGTTTGTGTGTATGTGTGTGTATGTATGTGTGTATGTGTTTGTATGTGTTTGTGTGTTTACGCTCGCATTACACAAATGTGTTGCTGGTCTAAGGCGTTCCTCGCACAGCATTGCCACCCGGTCGCATACGAGACGGGATGGTCGGCAGTACGTTACTGACCGACCTTGTTATGTAGTTGCCCTGTTGGGGTCTCGTTAACCGTTGTAGCGTTGAGTAATAACCCTGTTGGGGTGTTATAATTAACGTGTTGCCTCCAAGTTCAAGTGTGTGTTTCCATGAAGAACACTACATGTTTCATTACTAACTGCAGTATAATGTAATATAAATAGACTACTATCCGTCTATCCACATCAAAATACAAAATGTTTTTGTGCATCAGCCTATGTGCCATGTGGACCAATATATTTCAACAGCATTTATTTAAAGAGGAAAACTCTGGAATGACTTTGACTTCTCAGAGTTACATCGGCAGAGTTGATTTCACGTGTTTTCACAAAATGTTAAAATCTGCCAGAAACCTAAATCTGTTTCTGCTCTGCATAGCTGGTGGCAGAGCTACGTGTGCTAAAATCCTATAAACCTGCCATAAAAGTGGCAGAGAGGCTCACAGTTCCGAACGCTGAGCTGGCACGAATGAGATCTAGGATTTGAATCTGGGTAACCACTTGTCATTAAAACTGGGCTCTAAAAGAACTTGAATACAGAGTATATGGTTTCATCCTGGTCACCAATTGCTGTGTAAAATATGAGCTTAATTTTTTCACTCAATTTAGATAAATTCTGGCTGTGAGAACTTTAAATCCTGGTTTTACTGTCATGCAATGAGCACTCTTCTCTTGTATGGTGGGGTCAGGGGTGTGCTGCTCCTAGCATGGTTAAGATGTCACTTGAAGAGATTTTTTAAAATATAGTTCTGTGATATCCATTTCCACGGGTTATTCTCTGACATGGGGTGATGCACTACTTTTTTAGGAGTTGTGCATGGATTCTTTATCTCATGGCATGATGGCAATAGCACAATTAAGATAAAATGGGGAGAAAACTAATATAAACCTGGAATAGACGAATGTTGTCCCATGATGAAACTGAAAACTATGCTTCGAATGCAGCCATTTAATCAATTATGCTTCCCTTATTCAATATCCCCGTGGTTTTGTGCAGCTCTAGCATGCTTGCACTTGGGAAACGGTCGGCGAATTAAGTTAGTTCAATACGCAGCAAGTGCAACATCCAAATTGAAGCTTATCTTCCTCATGGCCTAATTCGTACACTCAAATCGATAGACGTCACCCTTAATCTCAGAGTGGGATAACTGATAGACTATTCTGCCAGTACTGCTCTACATCCAACTGTTTAGAAATGAATAATCGAAAATCCCATTGATTCTTGGGTTTTTTTTTACCACATCCAGTAATAAATAAATGATGTCTAGTTAAACATTTTATAGAGTGCACCTTATGGAAAATAATTGTCAGTAGAAACATCTCCGAATTTCAGATACATTTTTTATACCATACTGTGGGATTTTTAGCTCCAATTTACCCACCACAGAAAATCCCTGGCTTGCATCTTCTGCAAAATCGTATGTGCAACGATAAGCCACATCCACACAATACATGGCAAATGCGGACACTTTGATGCACAAATGGAAATTAAAAACTCTCCAGTGTTCGACTGTGGTCACCCAGAACAGACCATGGAACATGTAACAACTCAATGCCCGATTTAAAAAGTTACAAAGGAGGTATCATCACAGCTATACCACTTTGCTACTCCTCATGCAATCATTATCTGACTTAACCACCTCAGTGTAAAATTATAGTTGTTGCTCTACATCAACATCAGCCATACGAAGAAGAAGTAGCCCTGATAAAAAAAATCATATTTTGTATTATTTTATTTATAATGCTTCTGGTCCATCAGTTACATTGTTTTAGTTATTATTTACATGCACTATTGTGCCTTATAAAGCATATTATATATACTCTGACCTCTCTATGTGCTATTAAGAAGGGCCATTGCCTAAAATGTCACCTCTTTTAATCCCACGTGGTTTTTGACGAATGTGTCAAGATATTGGTGTTATAAAGTATACTAATCGTTTGCAATATTATACATTATAACAGGGGTTGCAACAGAGTGGCTAGCACACCACACAATGGATCCAGCAACCTCGGTTTGATTCCCAGCCGTAGTGAACATCAACGGTGAATGATATCCGAACTGGTATTGGCAGACCTCCCTCCTTTACCAATCTACCTGCACTCACCAGCAAGGTGAAGTATGGTCAAAACAGCCCCCCCCTCCCCCCATGACTAACACAGGTATGAGGAGACCTTCATCCAGAAATTGATTGGACATGGACTATATACGATCATGATATTATTAACTAATAGTCGGGAATGGCTCTCTATAGAGAGCGTGAATGGCCCCGCCGTGTAGGCAATTTTCAACTTGAATGAAACCATCCGACACAGTGGTTCATTGTGCTCCACGTGGCTCCCAGCTCAGGGAGCTCAGGTGCACATCTGCAACGCGCGTGCCCGGCCAGCTCAGCCCCGGATATTTTTAAATCCTTTATATTAAGTTCGCTTGCTTGCTTACGACCGTGCAAATCTTTCAGGTCGTTTTTTAACCCACTTCCCGTAATCCAATCGAGCTGACATTTTCCACACAGACTCGTTGTGCGTGACAATTAATGTTCGTGAAAATTTTTTTCCAAAATTTTACACTTTTTAGGACTAAAATATTATATTTAATTACCAATTGCTTAATGGTGCAATGCAATCATCTGACCCATAGGTGGCAGCCATCTCAAGCCAGAGTACGAGAGGACTCTAGCCGCCACGCATATAAAGGATTTATAGTGAAAAACTTTGTTTTTACGGGTTATACTTATTTTTTGTGTTCCCCAAAAACAAAACAAAAGACGGCAGATGGGAAGCTAAAACTTGGCGTGTAAATAAACCGAGCTGACATATATGTGCAATTTTAAATCGATTTAATCTGAAAAATAGCCTTTTTAAAAAGAGTGTACAATCGAAGCATTTAGTGCAATAGAAAAAAACAATTTGAAAATGCTTTGCAAATCACTTTTTCCAAGTTAGCAATGCAAGCAGGGCGTGCCCTAGTCGTGGCGCACATTATCTCGCTCCATTTGCAGATTATAACAAAGTGAAGGCACAGACACTCGTATGTGCACAAGTATGTTGGTTCAGCTCTAACAGGCAAATTGAAAGGGACTGATCTACTGAGAGCATCAGCCGTTGCACCGCTCTGAATAATTAACTCAAAATTCCATCATAATCTACGAGTATAATCTCTTATTTCTTTAATTGCTCAGGATAGTCTATTCTGTTTAGTCAGTGAAGTTCAGTGTTGAAAAATATATCTAAATGCCTTGTTTTTCCTTGCACATTTCCTTTTTGTCACGTGCAATTGAAATGGAGAAACCACGCTCCATTAGCCCTTAAAGTAACAATATTCGCGCGAAACGATTTAAACTGTAAACAAGTAACTCGACACTTTCGTCAATAACATCGTGGCCTTAAAATGAAATAGTAATAGGTGACATTGAGGGCTGTGGTCCTATTGCATCGCACGTCTTATGCATAGCACATAATGTTCTTCACTTCTTCTTGGTTCTTTCGGTAAAGTCACGTAGAAGGGAAATAATAAAATAATAAAAATAAAACATTATAAAATAGTGAGAAAATAAAAGTGAGATTTTTATTTTATTATGTTTTATTTTATTATTTTATTATTTCCCTTCTACGTGACTTTACCGAAAAAACCAAGAAGATGAATCCCTGCAGTCACGAAAGCTCTAAATCGAAATTTGTTCTTCACTTGTTATGAAACGTTACATATTACGCGTTTTTCCTTTTGAGGCCACTATTATTCACTAATACGTTAAGTTGTACGTTACCCGTGCTTGTGCACCACTGCCAATGCAGTATCACCAAATTATTTGTGAAATCTATGAAACGTGAACACGCCATTCTATTCTTTGAAGGAACGCTGTAAAATAACTATGCTCAAATTTGATCTTGGTCAACTTAAAATGCTAGTATAAGATCACAGTTATTAGTTTGTTTAATTATGTATATTAAATAATAACAATCACCTGTTCCTGCCAAATATCCATAACATGTCCTCTTAAATTAGACAATGCTTGCTTACTGAGCAGTTTTTTAAGGGTTAAAACTAACTTGTAATATCTCCAAATATGTTTTAATGCTCCACCAAAATACAGCACTTGTGACTGGATGCATATTCAAAAGGTATTAACATTCAATCGTTATTGATTAAACACATCATAGTCCATCACATACAGCTTAATGCTGGCTCTTGTGGTATTACTTTTAGCTCTTAACGTTACTCTGCATATTTTACAGTGTAAATGCTTACCGTAATGTTTACCCATAATGCATATCAATTCGTAGGGCCCCTGTTTGAGATGTTTGCCGAAATATTGTTGCGTATGTGTTTTTAATGTGGTAATACAATTGTGCAAGGGAGTAACAAACTCCACACAGCTACATAAGTAAGCTACTTTTGGTACTGGCTGAAAATGCCATGATTACCCTCAGGCACTTTAAGAGCAAATGTCGCTTGAAATTTTCACCAACAACCCAATCATTTTGAACAACCAGGTGGGGCAACAGCATATACAGAGTCCCATCTAGTTAATAAAAACAGACATCTCGCCAATGGGTTGAAACTAACTAATGAAAACCTTGTTTGTTTAGAACATGTTATTTGATGAGAAATGAGCATGCAACCTTGGCGAGTCATGTGACCTCTCTGATTTTATTGGATGTTGCCAACTCAATTGCTCACCATAAGAAACGGTAATCATATTTACGTAGATTTATGAAAACATTAAATTTACAATAGTGTGATATACCATTAGTGTCTTCTAGTTTCCATAATGCAGATGTGCCAATCCACACTTGGAATTAATACAATGTGATACACTCCATGCACTGAAGCCCCAAATATTGCATCGTTCCAACTCGGGACCCCTAGGTTATGTTGTAATTTACTTTGAACTTTGCAAAATATTCCATCTCTGAGACTTCTTAGAAAGATTCACTCATCATGCCCCTTGTTGCTGTGAGGCAGTTGAAATCTTCTGTTCCATTTGAGACACATAATCAGCTGGATTAGGTGGTACTTTATCCAGATGAAAATTAGCATTATATTTTCCAATGAGAATTCCTCATATGGTTTCTGCAAGATTTGAGTCACAAACGAAGTGTGAATTCTGATATGTTTGCAGACATGGACTGGCCACGGTCGCTCCAATGTAAATTGTAAATCTTACAAACTTACAAGTCCCAAGATAAAATCTCAATCTTAGAATTTACATTTCTATTGTTAATGTTGAAATCTTGTTGGTTATCTTTTTGCAATATTTTATTCGTTTACACCCTGGCACATACATTTTTAGCAATGCACCTTAGTACGGTTGGCTTACGTATACATACATACAACATGAGCTTTCACACTGGACTTCTCAGTTATCATTACATGGCATATGATAACGGGATCCTGGGAAGGGTGTCATGGGATTTTTCAACATCTATAAGCTGACAGGACAGATGCTTTTGTTTCACCTCTGCAATCCAGCTCCAGGACGTCCTGTGATTACAGTTTAAATCAGCATCCCTCAGGGCCAGAGGTGAGTGTGCTGGTGCTGAGCATGCTCTTCAGCTCATTGACAACTCTGTATTTATGACTTTAGTCTGTAAGATGCACCCCCTGCACACTCAGTACGCTTTAATTAATCAACTTTGCGCGAGCTTTTATTCACGCCCCACACCGCACTCATGCAAGAGAGAGAGCGGCTCACTCTCAGGAGGCAATGGGTTCGAATGTGCTTGCCGGTTGACTCAGCCCATCATCCCTCCGGGGGTCTATAAAATCAGTACCACTTTATGGGGAAGTCAACAGTGTCTGTCTTGTGGGTAGACTCACCCCCGCCATAGGGATGTGGAATGTACACCACTGGCTCATGGATGTACACGGGAGAAAAACCACCTCAATGCTCATTTGAGCGGAGAATGACTGTTCACTCTCGTACATTCCTTCGGAGTCAATTTACATTTCGATTTAAAGCTTTCGTGACTGCAGGGATTGATCTTCTTGGTTCTTTCGGTAAAGTCACGTAGAAGGGAAATAATAAAATAATAAAACATAACATGACGCTGTCTCCCCTACAGACCTGGTCTTCACCTGAGGACGGCTGCTTGCGTTGTGGCCGAAACGTCGTGAGAATTATTTTATTATGTTTTATTATTATTTTATTATTTCCCTTCTACATGACTTTACCGAAAGAACCAAGAAGATGAGTCAATTTACAGTCAAGTTTCTGATGTGCTTTTGTTTTATCATCCACTTTTTCTTTCACAAGTCATACCGTGTGATATTATATAACGTTGTATAAAACATTACACAACGGTAAATGTAGTGCAAATCAAAATAATGCGAGAATCTGCGCACTATTTTAAATGTATTATACACTGTATTCAAACGTTTTTGATCACCCACTTTATGTAAGCACAATATAATTAGTAAAATAATTTATAAAATGACCCTCATCGGTATACCAAATCGAATACATTGTATGTTAAGTTTTTTTTTTATGACCTACAAAATTCATCTATTTTATTGTTTAGGAACTATTTCTTTAAAATCAATATATAAAACAAAGCCAAATTTTGCTTCCAACTATAATGCATATGCAGCCATCTAACAATATCAGCCATACGTGCATTAACTATTAAATGTATAACCATAACCTGACATTGGTAAATGTTATCATACATTCCATGTCAGGAGGGCACTAATTGTGATCAATGTTAAGCAAATCCCCATGGAAAATTACTTTGTCAACAGCAGTCCTAGGATATCCAGCATGGTAAATACATAATTAAGTGTGCATGTTAATTATATATATACTAAAACAGGGGACGCTGCTGTGATGTAATGGTCAGCACACCGGCTTGTCATCTCCAACGATCGCCGGTTCAATCCGATCTTCCACCACGGCAGTTGAAACGATTTCCAAGTTTTGTGAAATCCCACGCCTCTGTCCACCCGGCAAGTACAATCGGGTTCACCACAAATGTGCCAATCGGCAGTGTTGCACAAAGATGGGGGCAAAGCGTTGATACTCCCACCTCTTTCAAGACGTTTGGCCAGCATGTATAGACGTACTCTTTGGTTCTTTCGGTAAAGTCACGTCGGTATAAAATAAAATAAATCACGACGATTCGAGTGCAACACAAGCGTCCGTCATCACGCTTTCCCACCTGATGACGGATGCTTGTGTTGCGCCCGAAACGTCGTCATTTATTTTATACCTACGTGACTTTACCGAAAGAACCAAAGAGTATGGATTCCTGCAGTCACGAAAGCTTCAAATCAAGAATGTATATCCGTAGCCAACCGTGCTAATCGGAGGTGCAAAAAAACATGGAAGTCAAACACCCCCTTCTGCCAACAGTGACACGAGCAAGTAATTGCAGGGGCTGCTCCTTTACCTTTCGCTAACATTTTCCATGACATTGCCAGAAGTGGAATTCACACCGCAGGACCCTTACAGTCTGCGGCTCCAGCTGCAAGAGCTGGTTTACAGTTTACATTCACTGCCGTGAAACAACACAGCTGCAGGCAGAGTACATGGAGCAGGCACGCTCTAAAAACTGCAATGTTTACATGGGCAAAGAGGCACCTCCAGGCATGGCGCATTTGCTGCAGTAGATACGGTCAATGTACTTGGGTATTAATGTGTGTAGTGGGATTCATTGTTTTTTTTTAAACGAATTAAACCTTGCCGTGAAAGTAGGTTTTTTAATATAATTGCATTACCAGGCATGTAATGACACATCAATTAAAATATACGTGTATGATATACTGTATTGTGTAAGAATACAATATTTATGATTCATCGGATGTATACGCAAATAATATGCTCGTAAAATGTTTATGCTAAAATACAAAAAAAACAACTATACATCATCCTCAACCATTCACTGCTGGATGAAGGCCTCTCCAACCAATCGCCACCCCTCAGTCTCCTGATACAACATTCCATTTTGCTCTTTGGCTCCTGCACCCAAGTTGACCTCCATTGCTCCATCTCCAGCGTGTCCACTCCTTCGGCTGCCACTCCACCATTAGCCTTGATCATCATCCCTTTGAGCAATGTTTCCTGCTCAAGCCCACTTCTCTTAATCATCAATTTGTATCGTGTCTAGTTTTGAATTTGTTCTCTATTCAATGTGTTCCTCCTTTTTTCCCCCCTCAATATAATGCCACAGTGTGCCACCTCTTCAGCTTTTGTTTCCGCATGCTTTGTCAGTACCCGTGTGTTCGATAAATGTGTCGTCGCATATTATTTGGTGATACTGCATTGGCAAAGAAATCTCACCAAATTCATGAATAACAACACTGTCTTTGAAAGGAAAATATGATGTAACAAGTGACATTTCAGGCAAAATGTGTTAAGATTTTAGCACGTGTCATCGTGGGTATTGTGCACTGATTTAAATGTAATTCTTGAAGTAAAGCAAAATGCTGCTTTTCATTCTTAAACGTACTATTTGAGACAAAACATGTTACAAAAATAATTTATTAATGTTTCAAGTCACGACCCCAATTCATTAAATCATTGCGGGGGGAGAGGGGGGGGTTAATTGTCGCAGGAATTTTTACGGTGCAGAATTAAAAGAATCAGAAAACCTTGATAATTGCTGAATGTAGGTGCAGTGGCAATGTTACCAAATGGAAAGAAAGAAGTGATGAATGGCATGAATGGCAATTAGACACTTTTTCTTAGAGCACTTTTCCTGAAATAAATTAAAGCACAAGATAATTTTAAAACCTGGTGAACAGGGGAAATGACCTACTTTGAATTTAATATGAACTATGTGTTATGTAAATTCAGGCACATTAGTCGAGACTAGACCCACATTTTTTTTTATCTTTAATAAAATTAATTATACTGTTGGAAAAAAAAGAAAATTATCCAACTGTTAAACAACTAATTTAAAAATATTGACTTGTTTTTATCATACCGAGTTTTAAGATTGTGTTCAAAGAAACGTAAAATATAGAGTATATGAGGGGGTTTATGTAAAACACAACTTGGAAAAATACATATTCAAATTCTTGGTTCTTTCGGTAGTCACGTAGAAGGGAAATAATAAAATAATAAAATTAAACATAAGATCAAACTCTCAAAATGTATTATGTTTTATTTTTATTATTTTATTACTTTATTATTTCCCTTCTACGTGACTTTACCGAAAGAACCAAGAATATGAATCCATGCAGTCACGAAAGCTTTAAATCGAAATACATATTCAAGTTTAATTTTATTCACCTTCAACAAAAATGCATGAAAAAACCCATGACATTATTTAAAGTACAACATTATTCAAGTATTCCAGTTCAGCCATGAAATGTCTGAAAATTAAAGCAGCAACAGAATTAAAATGTTACCATCTCCTCTCACATTCATTATTCACTTCTCCTGACAAAGACCATGTGTAAAATGCAGAATGTGTATATTACAAAAGCCCTCAGTGGGCAAATGAGGCACCACTTACATCGAGGGTTCAAAATTGCCGATTATCATGTAAATCTCAAATACAATAGTTTAACACCTAGTAAGTTTTCACGACCAAAATTATCCATAATAGTGTTTTTTGGCTTAGATCCCGTAATTATAAATGTGTCGTTAAACCCGCCACCACCCGACACAGCCAATTAGTAAGGTTTGTCACGTAAACAAAACGTGCAAATTCCTTACTCGTTCAGCACACCGGTGTGTTAGAGACTAAACCCACAACATTACACGTGACTTTACCGAAAGAACCAAAGAATAATTCCTGCAGTCACGAAAACTCCAAAATTAAGATTTACATTTCGAGTACGACGTTTCGTCGGTAATTGCAACTCGCATCATCAGGCGACAGCCAGAGATGTGGAGAAAGCCTCCTGTTTCGGTCTTCAATAGAGGGATAAATGTGATGTGGTCACTTGTAAGACAATCTGGTGTGAATACCAGACGGGGGTTGTGAGGGTTAATGTATGCACACACATTACAATGGATACCCATTACCGGTTGGGTTATTCATAGGATAATCAACATGTGCAATATACAATTCACTGCAAAAAGGTTTTCCCACGAGCAGGTAAAACCAACTACGGCTGGATAAACACGATGGCCCTTGTAGGGAAGTGATCACGTTTAATGGAGTATGCTAATTATTTGCAAAGGCTCCTTGGTTTCACGTTTAAAATGTGTGTGGTCAATGTAACTGTCCTAAATATCACCCCTGGGGACTATTTAGTAGATTCTAGACTGGAGATGGGACGGTGCTGTTGTGTGCGTAATGGTTAGGGCATTGGACTTACGAAATAGAACGCTTCACGAATTTGCGTGTCATGCTTTCGCAGGGGCCATGCTAATCTTTTCTGTATCGTTCCAATTTTAGTATATGTTCTGCCGGAGCAAGTACTTACGATATCGAGGTCGCCGGGACTATTTCAGTCGACTGCCGCTGCCTTTCTCCACCCAGCAGTATAATTGGAACCACTGAAGTTAGTCGATCGGCAGGTCACGGTGTGGTGGGTTCAAGTGTGGGTACTCCCAACTCTCCCAAGATGTCTGAACAGTGTGGGAAGAGGAGGTCTCCTGAGAGTGTGAGAAAGCAATTGGAGGGCTACCTCTCTCGAGCTTACACTGGGGTGGTATGAAATGATGTTTAAGGGCCGTCCATAAATGACGTCACGCGATTTTTGGACGAATTTTGACCCCCCCCCCCCCTCCATCGTCACACAGCGTCACAAAAAGTCAGACCCCCCCCTTGACCACAATACCTGCAGTCGGAATGCAAACAAAAAACACAACTCTGATAATGTATGCACTGTCCTTGAAATTGGCGTCATCTGGTCCAACACCATGTGAGACTAGGCTCTAAAGAAAGTGTCTCGGGTGTGGACCAATCAATTTCAAGGACAGTGCATACATTATCAGAGTTATGTTTTTTGTTTGCATTCCGACTGCAGGTCATGTGGTCAATGCAAACATGACTCCTTGTAAAAAAAGGTGTCAGTTTTGTTGCCAGATAAAAGGGTAAAAAACCAGTTATCATCCTGAAATTAATTTTGCTTTGTAAATTATAAAGTAAAATCCTGCATAACGCATGCTGATGGGATAGTCCATAGGCCAAAGTAGAACTTGGTAGCACTAGAGGTGGAAAATATATAGCGTGACCAGTTTCTGTGTGTGATTAATGAAGCGCATGATGTGATAACACACTTAATAAATAAGTTGTTGC